TTTAAGCAAAGTATTTTTACTGATGAATTATTGCAGATTTTAAAGCATTATTCAAAAGCAATTTCGCTTCGTGGGAACAATATTTACATATAAAAAAAAATTTGCGAATAATTTAATTTAAAAATTAATACTAGGGTACTCGGCTTGCGTTGCTACGCCACTAAAAATGTTACCTTTATAACGCCTTCCATTCTCATCACAATATGGATTTATCGGTTTTGAGTGCATAATTGTATTTTATAATATACTTGATTGTTTTATGCCCTAATAGATTTTTATTCTTATTAGTCTATTTGTCCGCTTTAAACTTTTATTAAACTTTTTTGTCCATCTCTCTTCTCATCCCAACAATAAGACAGAGGACCAGGGGCGAACGCAGCTTTTTCCAAACAATTAAAATTTTGATTAAATAATAATAATGCACGATGCGGTAATATATTAATTTTTGCATATGATCAATTGAAAAACTTCAACAAATACAAATCAGTTCCATTTCAAGGCGAAATAGTGCGCCATAATAATGAATATGTGGTCCATCTCACACGCTCTTGCAGAGGACGGAACGTATTGACAGTGTCCTGAGCTTCATCGGTGCAGAACTTCTCCAATTTTCCATGACGGACAAACGAAGACAAATTACAGAATTACATGGAAGCAGACTTATAACATATGTAAATAAATATTCTAACTACCGCGATCAGAGGTTTCTGGTTGGCTCAAATTATCGACAAATTTAAATAAATTTGTTTTTAAGTGAATAAATTTCAGCATTATTATCCATGTTTTATTATTTCCTATTTCTAACTATTTTGATCAAAATCGGTTGAGTGGCTTCGGAACATACATATGTATTTCCATTTTAATTATATGATGTTGCAGTCTAACATTCGCCAGAAAGTTTCTTACCTCGCCAAAAAGCTTTTTCAAGTATGGCAACGTCATGCTGCTCTCTATTGGCAATGCTACCAATCTACTGCTTATAATTGCAAATTGTCGCAAGTAGGATGTGAAGAAAATGTAAGAAATGTACAGTTTTCCATAAATTATGGGTTGTCAATTTTCAAATTAAATGAAAATGTGGTTAACGATTAATGTCGGCTGCAGGGCCTGCACAAAATAATTCCGTGGCTTGCCTTTTGGTTGGCAAATGCAAAATAGACGCTAAACACCAGCTGTGGTCAGCTTTATAATGGCCTCCAAGTTGTTGTAAGTGCTGCAGCTGTTGTTATTGTTGCTGTTGCAATATTACAACTGCAAGCAGAGCAAAAGGCGAGGTATGATTGGATCTCTGTGCATTGGCCAAGGCACTTGCAACAGCAGCACTAGCATCAGCTTCAGTTATTGGCCATGGCCCCGACTAACGACGACGACGGCAATGATGACGTTGGCAAAAGCAACGGCAACGGAACGACCAACAGCAACAACAACAAGAACTGCAACAGCAACGACCAAATTGATGCAGATCCAACGTGATGCTTGTTGGTAATAAAATTGGTGCTTAAACGAATCCACTCACAGCCATTTAGCAATATCAGACATGGCTGTAAAATTAACAGAGCAACACAAAACGAACGAACGAACGAGCGAAAGAGTGAAGGAGAGGATGGAGCAGTGCCACCAACTGAAGACAGACTGGACCGGACTATATCCAGTCGAGCAGCCAGTGAGGCGAGCGAACGGCCTCAAGTTGTTGGTCCATGTGCAATTATTTCTTTGTTGCTGTTGCTCTTGCTGTTGCCTTAATGGGGGGAAGGCGCTTTTGTAAAATGGCAGACTGGTGCATTGCTATGCCAGCCATTGTGTCTGCAAAGGCATCGGGCACCAGGCACCAGGCACTGGCAACAGAACCAAACACTTAGCAACACCCACTTTCTGATCACGACGACGATGCGCTCAATGACGATAATGTGGGGATAATGATGCAGATGATGATGATGATGACGCCGCTCTACTGTAATCGGAATGGCGCTGACTAAATGCGATCCCTAAATTGCTCGCTTAAGTGCGCATGAATTTATGACAAAAAGCCCCAAACCAAACCTTTTGATGGAACCTCGAACAAATGTTACTATATTGATGGTTCGTCCTCGTTCCGTCGTCCGTCTTTTTGAGATTTTGGTAGTTCTGACAAGAGCAGACCCTTCCCTGCCCCCACTCGCCTGCACGATCGCATTAAATTATTAATTTAATGGCAAAAACGTTATGGCTGGTTGCGGTACGAACCCCCCTCTTTTGGGCAAGCGTTGCACACACGGGAGGCGTTTCTAACAATTTTATGCCAGATGAGCGCCTAAATGATCGCGATCAGTTGCTGCCTCAACAACAGACCCTGCGGCCATTGCTGGGGCTGATGCTGATGCTGGGGTCAGCGAGCACCGTGCGTCCACTTAAAGCTCAGACAATCTTCATTTACGATGCCCAACTGCAGGGCATACAGCTGCAGCAGCTGCCCTCCCTCGCCTGCCCCGCCACTACCGCCCGCTCCAGCCAGCATCCGGCAACATTGAGGTGTTTATTAAGGTGTAATGCAATTTTTCATATATGTATCTCTCGCACACTACTACTATTCCCTTCTACACAAGGTTTTGCGTGGGCGGAGCAAGTGGAAAATTGCAATAATATGATTGTGAGCGCGTATTTTCTTTGCAACAAAATGGCCCACAATACACGAAGAAGACCAACAGCAACAACAGCCACAACAACACTAGCAAGAAAAAAATGTGTGGCAACATGTTTGAGGTTTTCGCTTTTCCGACATAAATAATGGTCATAAATTGAGCATGGCCGGAGCTAAAAATTCAGTATTTATAGCCAAATGATAAAAATAAGATTTATTAACATTTTGCTGCCCCGCACCAAGCCACCAATACATCTACACAGGCACACGTTCACACACACACACACCCCAAAACAACGCCGGCTATAAGGACGATGTGGTTGAATGGGAGCTGGAGGGGAAGGTGAAGCCACCAACGCGAGTGCCACGGGAACATCCGTTTCGCTTTGCCATGCGGCTGATCCTGCGCCTGCCTGTGTGTGTCTCCTGATGTCTTTGTGTGTGTATACATTTTTATTTTCATTCTCAAAATGGGAACTCGTGAACAGTGGTGACATAATTTGCAGCTCCATACAAATGGAACATTAAAACTAAATCCGAATATGTTGAAAGTCGCAAGCAATTATTGGGTTTTTATTAGAATTTTGCGCTATCTTTGAGAACGGATTGCCAAATTGTTGGGTTAAAATATTTACATTTGCATTTATATTATAAAACCAAACGAGTTCCGTCACTGGTGTCCGTAAAAAGATGAAGAACGGCTGAGGTACCATTAACTTCTCTTCGTATTACTCGATTCGCATGCATTTTGAAAATGTAAAGAAATACCTTCAGATTTGAGCGAATCTTACTTGTATAGTAAAAAAGTTATCTATTTTTCAATGTGCCTTACTTCAACACATTGTTTCCTAATGGCTTGCAAGCCATTTATCACACAACAAGCAATATACCCTTACCAATACATTAATACATTAAACTCTATTCTATTCGCTGGGTGTTGAGTCTGGATGCAACCATACAGGCGGATGGACAAACGGAGTAATATACTTACTATTAAGCCGTTTTATGTCATTCTACCTTCGTTTTCCTCAATTTTTATCCACTTAGTCGAGATAACATAAATTAAGTGTGCAAAAAAAAAAAGTATTCAAGGTGGGGGTTATTCAAATGATCAATACTTGGTTACTTGTCGTCATTACCGCTCACATAAATACTCCTCATAGGTCGATAAACATAAAAATGTAAAAATGTGTTGCACAGTTTTATCCGGGAGTCGAGCAAATTTTGGCTTGCATTTCCGATTCATTAAATGTACATATGTACATATATATGTATATACAAGAAAATCTGCAAAAAAGAAAGAAACTACATCACTGCGTGTGCGAATAAACGACGAAAGGCTCGACCACCCCCGACGACTAATTACTCTCAGGTTTCGGACCATTTAAAGTTCACAAGAAGCGAGTCTGCGGGATGGTTCTGTTAGGTAAGTTCTTGGGCAGATGGAGCTCATTAATAGCTAGTGAGACACACAAACGATTTTATGCCAAATTTAAGAGCTCTGTCTCCCCCCTCCTTTGCCGTACTATATAGGCGTTCCACAATTAGTGCAATCGACGTATTGCCTGCAGCTTCTGCTGGCAACAAACAAGATTTCAATAAGCCCCAGTCGAAGAACATAAAACAACAAAAATCAACCAAAAGCAGCAACAACCAAAAGCAACAACAACAACATCAACAAGAAGAGAAACAGCAACTGCGACGCACACGCAGGCTGATTTTAATCAAATTCACAGCATTGTTTGCCTGTCAAGCAGCAAGCAGCGATTATCAGAGAAGGAAGGACGAAGAAGGCGCAACAACGACAAGGCGTAAAGGCCTGGACATTGGGAGCTGTTGTTATTTTTGCTGGTGTTGTAAATTCCAAGCGTATTTCTTCATACTGCACCACCAGAGGCAAAACAGCAACAAGCCATAAAGCTGCTCCACATTCAGCCAACGCGTGACCATAGGACGCCCCAAGCATTAGGCACCCACCCACTTTTTGTAACGCGCTTGGCTGGTTGGTTGGTGGTGATTGTTGCTGATGGTTTTATGGAATGCGTCGCTCAAACTGCCTTTATCATGTAAACTGTATAAAACTCATGAATATCATTAAAGCCGAAGGTAATCATAAAATTATTGCAATAACAATAAATGCGTTGGTGTGCGATGTGCGAAGCGCGAGACTTCTATTTATGACGGCTTATTCACTAAGTACTCAACGAATCAACTAAAGCTGAAATTCAAAAATTTAACGCCAGATTATCCAGACCTTACTCAAGCAGGTTGACAGCACTTTTTTGTGCGCAAGCTGGCAGCCCCATAAATACTTATCTGGCATATTAATAAAAGTACCCTGATGGTCACACTGTAGCAGTGCGAAAGAGCAGAGGAAGAGGTGAAAAATGAAACTAAGAATTGCAATTGAAAATTAATTGATTTATAATTGTTGTTTTGTTTGCTAAACACAATATATATAGATGAACAAAGAATAGTCCTATGAGTACCCGGTAACGAGTTACAGTTAATTGGTCGATTAAATTATCACGGTTTGAAAATTTGTTATTTTTTGTTTTCTCGCAATTTATTTAATGCGTCATCGTTGACACCATAATTATTGTGATATGTGCGAATATGTTGCTAAACAGAAACTAACGATTAGCCGGTACACGATTTTGGTCATATCTATTTCGCCTTTGTTTGATTAGAAAGTTCGTTGTTTGTTTGTGAATGCGAAAGGGGCTGGGAAGGGGAAGAGAAGGAGAGAGAGTGAGAGCGCGCGTCGGCACGCAACAGCGACGGACCGCGCAAACTATGTATAATCATTACCCGCAGAAGTTCCCCGTTTCGATGCCATCGAACATCAGCGCTCCCTCCCCCACCTTTTCTTTTCATTATAATTGTCAATTTGCTTATACATAGACGCTTGTGTTGCGTTCAATGACGAAATGGCGACGACTTTGTTGTTTAGTTTTTTTTTTAATTTTTTGCAAAGGTCACGGGCGGGGAATGCGATGGCATATGTGTTGTGCTCTTCAGTGGCCAGAATAAATGAATTTATAACGTCTTATGTTTATTCTTAGGCGCCATCATGGACTTTGCCAGCGTGCTCAACAAAAGCGAGCCCCACCAACGAACCATTATACATCTGGATATGGATTGCTTTTATGCTCAGGTTGAGGAGATACGGGATCCAACGCTGCGCACGCGTCCCTTGGGTATACAGCAAAAAAACATTGTGGTTACCTGTAATTATGTGGCACGAGCGCAAGGTGTCCGGAAGTTAATGCTTATCGCGGAAGCGCAGCGCTTGTGCCCGCAGTTGGTGCTGGTAAATGGCGAGGACTTGGCACCGTATCGTCTAATGTCGCAAAAGATCTTTGATCTGCTCTTGAATTACACGCCCGCCGTTGAGAAGTTGGGATTCGATGAGGATTTTATGGATGTGTCGGCGCTGGTTGAATTGCGTCAAGCACATGCTCCTGAGGCACAACAAAAGCCTCCAGTTGGGCATATTTGTCCGTCGGATGGTACGCAGTTGACCGCATGTTCCTGCGGCTGTGCCCAGCGATTGGCCATTGGCACTCGGATCGCACAGGAAATTCGCGAGGAGCTGCATTTGCGATTGGGCATCACCTGTTGCGCTGGCATAGCTTACAACAAGTTGCTGGCTAAGCTCGTGGGCAGCCAGAATAAGCCCAACCAACAGACGGTATTGGTGTCCACCTATGCCGAGGAATTTATGCGACAACTGAATGATCTGCAAAGAGTTACGGGCATAGGACAAAAGACGCAAACGCTGCTACTGGAAGCGGGAGTGGCAAGTGTGGAGCAACTGCAGCAATGCGATATGGAATTTATGCGGAAAAAATTTGGCTTTGAGACTGCTACGAAGCTGAGGGACCTAGCCTTCGGCCGTGATATGAGCTCTGTACGACCCACGGGAAAACCGAAGACCATTGGCATGGAAGACTCTTGCAAACCGATATCAGTGCTCACAGATGTAGAGGAAAAGTTTCGGATGTTGCTTTTGCGGCTCGTTGAGCAGGTAGGTGAAGTTCTATACTGATTTTGGTCAACACTTAACCTGTCCATTTCATAGGTTGCGGAGGACGGTCGCATTCCGATTGCTATCAAGGTAGTGCTGCGTAAAAAAAGTGCTGATGGTAAAAGCCATCGAGAGACCAAGCAAGCCAATTTTCTGCCTTCCCTTTTTAAAACGATTTGCTCCATGGGCGAGACTGGTGTAGCTAAGGTGCAGCTGGCTGATGGCGCTCTAGACAAACTGCTGAAGATAATCATGAGACTCTTCGAGCGCATTGTCGACCTCAGTAAGCCGTTTAACATCACCCTCATTGGACTGTCGTTCTCGAAGTTCCAGGAGCGCAAAGTGGGCTCCTCGTCCATAGCCAATTTCCTAATCAAAAAAACCGACCTGGAGGTTCAGTCCATCACATCCTTAACCAACACAAGTCTCACAAGCCCCACAGCTGAGAGCCCCACCACGGTGTCCAGTCCAGATGAAGCAGCCTTTCGTTCCTCTCCCACCACATTTAAGCCAAGTGATCAGTTCTACAGACGCCGTGCCACTACAGCATCACCAATTCCTATGCTCTTGGACAACGGCTCTGAATCGGCGGCTACCAATTCAGACTTTTCGGATTTTTCCGAAACAGAAGTCGAGCCCTCGCCGAAAAAGAGTCGCGTTGGCCGTCTTTTGGTGTCCAAACGCAGTCGTCTGGCCGCAGATGTCGGTGAGAGCGCCGCTGATGTTGCCTCCCCGAGCAAGCTGCGCGTCTGCGACCTGCGTCTGAATTCGCGCGATAGCGAGAAGGATTTCCCCATGAGTCCCACTACCGCATGTACGCCTTCCACATCGGCAGCTGCTGCGGGCAGCGCTAGCACTCCACGCTTCCGCACCATTCAGCCACCTAATACCCTTCTTAATCGCATTGACGGTAGCTTGCGTTTTGTAACGACACGCACGGCAAGTCGCCTTAGCTCCAATGCCAGCAGCACAGCCTCCTCGCCACTCCCCTCACCTATGGATGATTCAGTTAGTGCGCCCTCCACTCCTACGGCAATGCCCATGCTTCATCATGCTGACGCTGCCGACAATTTTGCTGCTCCCAGTGTCAGTACATCCATGTCCACAGATGCACTTTCGCACATAGCCTGTCCAGCTGGCGTGGATGCCAAAGTGTTCAAGGAATTGCCGGTGGAATTACAGAACGAGTTGATTGCATCATGGCGCAGTTCGCTGGTGGCGGCCGTCACCAATGGCAGTGGAGATTCTTCTAGCCAGTCAGCGGTGCCCTCCCCAAGCAGCACGACCAATGCGGCCACGGCAAGAGCAGGTGGAACCACGGCAACAGCTGCGAGCGCCACGCAAAAAAACACCTTGTACCGGTACTTCCTGAGGAACAAGTGATGCACAGCATTCAACGAGCGGCAGCTACAAGTGTCTATTTTAAGCCCACAGTGAACATTTGTATATTTTTGGTACTCATATGTGTCTCTAATTTAATGAATCGTCCATGTGCGAGAGATGCTACTACAAATACAATCATGAATCTTGGTTAACGTACTATTTGCATCAGCTTATCATTTCGTTAACGAACGTCGATTAAATCGTACGAATCCGGATTATTTCACTCCAGTAGTGGGTATTTTCGTAAAAATGTGTCAATATCTGGAAAGGTGTTTGTGATTGGGTTGAAAAAAAAGGCATCTGCTTCGTCGGCTTATAATGAATGCATTATGGCTTCCTACATATTTTTTAAATTAGGTGAGAATCTACTCAAGAAGGAAGCACATACATAGATCCTCTGCTAGTCTTGCTTTCACACTCAATACCCAAACATTATTGCCTATTTTGATTTTTCCCTAAGTTCTGCAGTTATTGAAATTTTGAATGCAGCTAAATGTTTTTTAACTCATTCTAATCCGTGGTGTTTTTAAAACACTCATAGAAACAATGCTGCAAAGAATTAATTAGATTACATTTTCGTACACAATTTGATAGAAACTAGTTTTTTTACTAAACTTCAATTGCTGATCTAGCTAATAACTGGAAACACTGGACAAAAGCCAATCCTTACCCACCATAGACAAGTCAGAGTGCTCTGGTAATACATTCATTCGCATTAATTTATTACATATATACTTCATATATAAATTCATAAAATATTTATACACACACAATTCATTTATGGCCTACTTATACAGATTACATCAAATACAAAAAAGCGCGTTGGATTTTGAAATTTTTGTTACAGGAAATGTGGAAGTAACACACAAAGTCCAGTTTAACTTGATACAAGTGAGTTGGAGATACATTTTTATATGAAATGCGTTAAAAACAATTGTTTCTTAGAAAAATCGCAATACCTTCGAAAAAAAATTTACAATATATTTTCAAATCATTCCAAGGTGAAAAAAACCAAAAATAATTACAATACTGACAATGAATCTAAAGATTGTTCTAAATTTAAATTCCAATGAAAAATCGATGCATTCCGAAGATATTGCAATTTTTAAGAAGTGGAATTTTGTTCCATTTGACTTCTTAATGGCAACATTCCATATAAAAGTGTGCCGTGTGAACTTTACAAAATCTTATCTTTAATTAATATCTAATAAATATGGAGTAATTATAAAGTCTTGCGATGCAGGAAACATTTTTAAATGGCAATGGCAATAGGCGCAATGGAAGCGACAGTGCTGTTTGTTTCTTTTTCAGTGGCTCAGCCAACCGCATTTGATGAAGAATTTGCGCAGCGATATTTCCATGGCTGGAGGATTATTCAATGCTGGGGCTCCACTAAGATATACCGTCTTTAATGAAAGGTAAGTTGTGGGCGTTATGTTGTACTTTTTGCAAATGTCTAGCTCATTATGGCTAAGCAAGTTGCTCCCCAGTGGCTGAGGCAAACGTTTCACCTCCTCCAGTTGGGCACGTAGAGTAAGGCTCATTGTGGGCTCCTCTGCATTATGGTTGCTTGCGCCCACGGCCGCGCACTGTTGGCCCATGGATACGTCGTTTAGTTGCAGTTGGGGAGGAGGTGGCAGCAGTGATCTGACCCCTCCCCCTCCTTGCTGCAGCAGCTGCTGATGTTGTTGGTTCGCTTTCGCTGCTGTCGTCATTGGCATCGTCATTGGGAGGCTCGCCTGCGCTGCCATCATCGTAGCCGTAGAAGTCGCTGCCTTCGCTGTTATTGCCGAGTCCATCGTCATCATTCCCATCGTCAGCCCCGTCGTCGTCGTTGTTGTCATCGTCGGCATTATCATCGTCGTAGCTGCCGACGATCCCCGACAGCTATCCAAGTAGCTTCTGTTGTGCAATAATCCGCCGGAGTAGGTCGGGTCGGCGGTGTGGTGCATGCTTTTTGGTGCGATTGAACTTGAACTTGCCTCGACGCCGCTTGACGGCTCTCTGAAAGTGATTGCACATGATCAATGGGCTTAAATATTGTGCAGACAAGGTTAACTACAAGTACTTACACCTTTCGCTGGCTGACTGGAGGGGAGTGCAAGGAAGAGTTTAGCGGCCGATGACCTCCATTGTAGGGATGCGTGTTGTCCTGTGGTTAAACATTGTCTTATACAACCATTTAAACGATCGCTGTTTGGCGCGTTGATAATACAGAGGAGCTGAATATCGTGAAAGTGAAAGATAAGGAGAAATAGTTCGTTACGATTGCGAAATTGCAGACACGATACTCCGATATTCAACTCGCCATGCATTCTCAGAGAACATGTACAAAACACACACAACGTTAACACTTACAGTCTTGCCATGACCGTACGGGCCGGTGGAACGGTGTGTGGCCATTGCGGCATGTTGCTCAAAGTGCCGGCAGTCATCAAGTTTGGTAATGCCATTGTATCGATAGCGATATAGCTCCGACTGTCGTATGCGTAGCTCCTTTTCGCGCTCAAGTGAGGTTTGCAGACGCTCGTACTCGTTGCAGGTATAAAACTGGGCGAAAACCCGAAACCGATCACGAAACTCCTTCTGCTCCTTGGTCATGCCGGGGTGCAGGGCATAGTTGCGATTGCGGAAAAAGTTGGAAACCAGTTGATAGTCGCGCACCATGCGTTTTCTTCTGGCACGCTCGCGTAAACGACGTGTGTACATATCCACATGCGCCAGCTTTAGCATTACATCGATTTCTGTGTCTTCTGAATTGAGCGTTATATTAGAAATAAGTTGCTCCGCTGTGGGATCGTATTCACGCTCGAAACTGTCACGATTGGGCATATAACCGAGCTGGAGTGCCTCCTCGCTGGTAATTTCGAGCGGCGGCAGGCGTGCTAGTGCATTGGCACCCAGTGGCCCCGCATCATCAGCTGTATGGTCAATCAGGCGGGGCCGTTGAGATTGTGCTGGGGTCCAGGTCAGACGGCCAATGGTGCCATTCACAAACTTATTTACATACTCCTCTTTGGCATCCTCGGCCGATTTGGTCTCGATGTGCTTGCTAATATCCTCCCAGTTTCCGAATCCATACTGTTCTATGGCATCCAGAAGCCTGATTTCCTCGCGGGCTGTCCAAGCGCCTTTACCTCGGAAAACCGACAGTATGGCAGTGCCTGTATCCATAAATTGATAGGCATGGTTGTTTTGGTGTGCTCCTATCTCTGCCCCAGCGGCGAAACACTACAAATTAAGACGAATTTACACTTTACTTTTTACGTACACAAAAAACAGCTGTTCCCAATCAAAATTGTGAAATCGGCTATCAATACGAGCTTATCTACGTCGAATGTATTTGTGTGGGTCATATGTATGTATATGTATACATACATGGATGAATCATTTCGGAACAGTCAGTGCTTACAAGCCACAGTGGCCATTTTCAACGCCTGCTTTTTTCTGCTTGTCATGTCCGGGGGTGAGAAGAATCTATGGCTATGAACTACTTACTTGCAGGCACAAATCGAAATTTTCACACTCCGCACAGTGTACACGGATACCTTGTATATCATCTTGGCAGTTTGTGCAATTATATTTCGTGAATAGGTCCGCTATCGTCGTCATTTCGCTCGTCTGTTATATTTTTTTTAACAAAATCGTGCGAAAATTGCGACGACGATGGCGACTATATGCAGCGTTGCCACTACGTTCGAGTCAGCAATATGGCTGCCAGCTCAAATGAACGAACCAGTAAAGAATGACCTAAAACCCGTTAATATTAAGCAACTAACAAAACGCAGATTTAGTTTTAAATGCTACTAATATTAAACTACCAATAAAAATATTTTTAAAATACTGGTTTTCTTGAAGTTTTAAATGCTACTCATTTTTATATTATTAAATTTTGATAAATCAATTAAAGTTGAATAACTGAATTTTAGTTAAATTAATTTTATAATTTTTCAGTTGTACACTTTACGGTTTACAATGTTTTAAATCGTTTTTTTCAATCTTTTTAAATAATTCTACAACAAACACAGTGTGTACGTATTCTAAGTCAACAGGATCAAGTTTAGAGAGGTAGCATCGACGAATGAGAGCTAACCTGCTTTGGCCACAGGAACTGCTGACCTAGTAGCTGTCGCTGCAATTTTTTGGGACTCTGGTGCTATGGCCTCCTCGTCCAGCTTCTTGATGCGGTGCTGATCGACACAAAGCTTAAATTGCGCCACCTCCTGCATACACTTCAATGTCTCGCCAGGATTAGAGCGATAGCAGGTGAGCAGCTGTGCCTTCAAATCTTGACATGGTGGTGTTTTGTGCGCCGCAGCTGTGCTTACAAAGCGCTTTCTCACACCATCTATCGCATTTTCATACTCCGATTCCATAATAGTGTTGGTCTTTTTGAGATTTTCCTCTAGCTGTGTCATGCGTTGCCGCCAAAGCTCGTCATTTTTCTGCAGTTCTAGATTCATTTGGCGTTGTACTTCAGCAGCGCTAATTGTATGACCTCCTCCCTGCACATAGATGGGCGTTGGGCTCTGGTAAACAACTGTTGGCGGTGCTGCCTTTGCAGCTGGCTTGCGAACCGGTGTTACTGGCTTAGCAGGCGGTTTAGTTTCCTCGGCAACAGACGCATGTTCACGAGCTGCAAAACAAATTCTTCGTAAATCAACTTAAGCGGTATAAACAAATGGCTGTTTTGACAATTGTTGCATAACACTTGACAAAACTTTTGCAGTAGTCCCCAACGATTTCAAAGAAGCCATTAGAATGAAATTAGACGTTACCCTGCTGCGTTATGCCGTGCTTCAGGCGCTTCACTACATCATCAGATATATCGATCACACCTGCTGGAGTTGGATTGTCCATTGAGACGGAACGTGGCTCACGAGACTGTCTAGCGCCCATGTTCCTGGTGTTTCCTTTTATTTACTAAAAGTTGCGCTAAATGTCCACTGTAACCGTGAGGATTATCTAGAGGCGGGTGCATTCAATATACTAATTATAAAATTTAGTTCAACAATGTTTTACTAACCTTTTTATTACCAACTTTGCTTGCAAAGATGGAACGCGAACGTATTCTGCTACACAGCTGACATTTTATTTAGCGTTGCCACTGCATGGTTCTGCCAACTCGATCAGAATAAAGGAAACAGGGCTGTTATACCGGCGTTCAAATTGAAATTAAGAACACATTTAATTTTTACTATTAATGATCAATAAAACAGCAACATGCGTACAATTAAATGTCATTTTTATTACCTCATATTTTGCAACTTGTTTATTTCTCATTACTTAATATAGTTGAATGTATGCATGTATGTTTACCCTTTTTGGTGTGTGTTGAAGTTGTAGATGAGTTTTTAGTTGGTTTATTTTTTTATATCTATCACGTGTGTTTTTTATATGTATGTATGCATTTACGAACTTTAGTGTGTTTTGGGTATGTTTAAATTTATTATTTATATAGTTTTGGCTAATGAAATGCTTGAGATGTTGGTATGTATTTCAGTGAGTTGTTTAAGCTTGGTTTTTGAATTATTGCGGAGAAAATGGTGTTGGCCGACTTTTGTTTTGTTTCCATAAATGTATATATGTATTTGTTTATTCTGTTTACAAATAATTATTGTAATAATTTTAAGTACATACTAGAAATATACAGTTATATTTATGTCAGTTTGTAATTAATTGTTTTGCTTTATCATTTGAATTTCTATTTTGTGACATACGCGTGCTTTTTTGAAATTTGTTATTATTACTACGGTAATTTTCTTTTCTACCGTCCGCTATGTTTGTATTTCATATCACTGTTGGTGGTTTGTTATTTTTTATATCGCATATGATATATTAATTTTTAAATTGTTTAGCTCAAAAAATCTATTTGTAATATACATACACTTTAATTTTACAAAAAATTCAAAAGAAGTGTGCCTTAATTTTTTAACTGCTGTTCTTCACTTCTCTTATCGTATGGACTTTTCATACAATTAAGTTTGTTTTCGTTTCTTTATGTAAAATAAAACGCTAGTCGTATGCTAGAAGGAAAATCACACATATATTGAGATTTTATTTTAATATTTTTATTTACACTCAGTAGGTCATTTATATATGTATCTTTTTAAATGTATAGTTTAATGGGAATGTGCCAAACGACTATGCAGCCTAGGCCATGCACTTCCCGTTTTTTATCTAGGGGCTTTCATTTGAAAACTGTCATGTAATAATTTGTTTTTATAAGTGTAGATTTGGTCAATTTCTTAGACAAGGCGTGCGTATATATAAAGTAAAGGCGAGCTCGAAAAAACACAAATCCTAACACATTCCATAAATTATTAAAAAAAAAAAAAACACGAATTCTCAAATCCAACTAAACTTTGTTTTTAATCTGTTGTATTAGTAATGGAGCAATAAAAACTGCACTTTTTTTTAAATTGAAAAGAACACAAACCAAAAGAAAACAATTTGTAAGAAATATCACGGTAATGCATTTTATTTAACGATCTCGTTTTACTCAATTGATTTTAAGTGTAAGTATGTATTCAGTTAATTAATCATTTATTTCTATACGTGGCATATCTACTAGATATATCCGCCTATTTTGCAACTGTGTATTTATTTGTAGACTTTTAAATAATTACGTGTTTTATCATATATAGATATTTTTTTATTACGCATTTAGTATGCTTTATTATCCCCCCATGTTTTTGTTTTATCATATTTTCTTTTAGAGTTTTGTATTACTTATAAACAAATTCCATATTATATCTACAAGTACAATTTATTAGCTAGTGTTATACATAAATTGAATGGGCGCCCGCTTAAAACATTAACGGCTAATTGAAGTTATGTAGATTTTCTGCACGACTTGCTATTGTTTCGATATTTTGTAGTCGATAAACAAACGTTTCTGCTATATCTTTAAAGAAAATGCGCTGAAGAAAATTAGTAACAGAAATATATATGAACACATTTCAAACTCGAATCGAGAATTGTATTAAGGGTGCAAAATGTATTGATTATCGGTTTGTTTGATTTTTTAAACATAAAGCGTGGTTTAATAATGCATTACAAATAAAAGTGATGCTTAAAGCTAAAGTTTCTTACGATGTTTTCCTTCTCGAACGCTCTGAGAAGCTAAACTCACCCTAACATTTTTTACAGTTCGATTTTGTTGTTGGTGAGAGCAACTAAATTAAAATATGCTCTCCATTTTCTTTGCCTATCTGTTCATAATTTATGGATTAGTTGCTCCTGGGTTTTTCTTTCTTTTTTGTTTAATGCATATGAAGTTTTATTAATTACTAGGTGCCTAGACTAAAGGTTAGGGACACTGCCTTGCGACGTGTCCTTTGTTTTCCAAAATATTTGTTTTTGTTTTGTTGTACATAAGCTTACACTCAATATTTTATTTAAATATTAATTTATTAATATTTTTCATTTAATATAAATTTTTCGCTTGTTTGTTCAGTTGAGTTGGTTTGTTGTTGTTGTTGCTGCTGCTGTTATTACACCCCCTCTATTTATAAGTATATACGTGTAAGTATACAGAGCAAAGAAGCAAATATATATAAAAATGAATATAATAGAAAAAAAACCGGCTTAGAAACATTGTAGTAGAACTGCGTGAAATGCACACATGAAACAAACATTGCTTTAAATGCAACACATTATCAAATTAGTGCAAATGTAATTTATTGCTGTTGCTATGCTCCTTGCTATAAATTAATTCTTAACTACTGAGTTTTGTTTTTACTCAATTTTTACACGCCTATATACTTTTGCCCGCATTCCGAACTTCAATTGTTAAGATTTGTTTAATGTTTTTCTTGTTGTTTTTTGTATGCAGCGAGCTTGCAATTAAACACTAAAATTAAAGTTAATTTATAAACATAGAGCAAAGCGCTAAATGAAGCACAGAGTGTGGCAGGGGGTGACTTACAAACTGAGCCGTAGACTATCATATATGTATGCGTATAGTTGTGTAGGTATTGTTCTTATAACTTTTTGATATTAAAAAATGGTTTCCTACTGGAAATCTACAATTTTCAGAGCACATCATAGTTTTTTAATATATGCATAAGAACAATACCTACATGTCTCTTTACAGTACACACGACTACAGATTTTTGTTGTTATTGATCATCATATGACTAAGCATTACATATTATATAGCGCAGAAACGATTCGGAAAAGTATTTTAAAAAATGTACAAAGGAAGGAAAGAAGAGCGCAACTAATCGCGTGTGTTTGTCACTTTTTTGTCTGTCTCGTGGCCGCCAGCGAAGTGTTCAACAACTCAAACGATGACGACGAAACTTTACATTCAATATGTATACCGTTAATCGTATATATAAAGCATTTATATATATATAAGTGTGTGTGTGTATTATAGTTCCTAAGTTAGCTACTGTGTCCAGCGCTGCTCACAAGCGCTCAACTGCGCAGCATTTCTAAACAATAAAATATTATTTAGCATTTCGAACATCGCCACCGACGATGCCGCCAGGTTGTAGGCCTCCGCCACCTCCACCGCCCCCCTGTCGCATGCGTATCGAAGGACGTCTCTCGGGCGTATCATATGCTGGTCGCGAGGAGTTTGTGGCCGCCATTGAGTCGTCCAAGTTAAGGCCTCCATTGCCACTGACGCCTATCAGTTGCGCGCCTGAGCCACCGCCGCCGCCGAGCATTGCCAGCGTTTGGCCAGCTCCCGAGGAACTGCCCATTAACTGATGTGTGCTGCCGCCAGCCGTGGCCATGGCCGTGTTTACTTTATGCTGCTGCTGCTGTTGCTGCTGATGGGACGCAGCGGCGGCTGCTGCTGCAGCTGCGGACGCATCTTGGCCCTGGCCATCGTTACCATCTTGGGCCTGCGCTATTGCCTGAGGATTGCGCGGTCCGCCAAATTTCAGCAGATTCCAGTCGAACACATAATCATAGGTGAAGCCAAGGCGATGGAACAGATTGCGGAACAGCTTACGTAAGTGGCAGTAATCCGGACGCTGGTCAAAATGCATTTGCCGACAGAAATTCAAATAGTTAACAAACTCGCTGGGGAAGCCCTTGCAAAGCACCAAAATCGAGGTTGATAGCTTCTTCTCCGAGATGCGCTCGTACTTCTGTCGCTTATTAGCTGCTTTAAGACCCTGCCAGGGCAGTGCGCCCAAATTGAAGTACATGAGCACGTATCCAAGTGACTCGAGATCGTCACGACGCGATTGCTCGATTCCCAGATGTGTGTTAATCGAGGCGTACCTGGCTGTACCCGTCAAATTTTTGTTTTCACGATATGGAATGTGCTTCAAAGAGCGTGCATCCCGAAACTTTTTGGCCAGACCAAAGTCAATAATGTACACCAGATTGCCTTTCTTGCCCAGCCCCATCAGAAAGTTGTCCGGCTTAATGTCACGATGGATGAAATCACGCGAGTGTATATAGTCGATGCGTGAGATCATCTGATCGGCCAGCAGTAGTACTGTTTTCAGTGAGAAACGGCGCGAGCAGAAATTGAAAAGATCTTCCAGAGAGGGGCCCAACAGTTCCATGACCATAACATTGTAGTCGCCCTCAGAACCACACCAAATAATTCTTGGTATGCCAATGCCTCCCTGCATGGTTTTGTAAAACTTGGACTCGATGTGCAGTTGTGGATGTTTGGTGCGTATGCATTCTAGCTTGATGGCGACTTCCTCGGCTGTGTTGATCGTTGTGCCAAGGTAGATGTCGCCAAAGGAGCCAGAACCAATTTTCCGGCCTAGTCGATATTTATTGCCAACGCGCAGCTCCATCTTTGTAGCTCTCTGTGTGATTGTTTTTGGCTGCTGCGAGAGCGACGGCAGTTTTTGCCTGCGGGGGAACAGTAAATTTGAATTATAAGAAACATAATCAAATGGTCAAGTTTATGCAAACCTTGCGCTTTCCTTGTTGTGTGTGTGTGATTCAATGCAACAACGAAACTGTTGTTTTTGTTATATGGGTGTTTAAAGGGTGCGCGGGCAAAACTTTACCAGTCCTTTTTGCTTCTTATTCTACACTTCGACAACGAATGGAGGGATTTTCTCTTATTAGTTTTTGTTATGGCGGCTGCAAATAAAGCAAGTTATTCCAATTAGTTTTGAAGTAATTATGCCGTTATATTTGTCAAAAAGAGCGCCAATTTCTGCGTACGTGACGCAATCGTTCGCACTTTCTTCAAAACGCCAACGTTGCAGCTTGACTTAAATTAACTGTTTGTTTGTTATTCACCACACACGAAAACAAATAGCTGGCTCAAATAACAGAAACATATTTAAAGTTATACCTTTTGCCTTTGTCAGCTGCTTCCAAACCGTATCGATAATAAGCTATAAGAGCCAATCGATATACTTTAAGCTTGGATTATAGGCGTATGCAATAATTTGATAAAATCACAATTACAGGGAATTGATAACCAATTGATTCAATATGCAATCATGCGCCCACATCCATAAATGGGAGTGTTTATTCACAATAGACGGACATGCACGTTCTGCAGCTATATAATTCAAGGCACAGAATGCAATGTGGCGAAGACATTTGTGTGTATGTAGATTGGCAAATCATACCCTAAAAATGTGTGCACTTACCTAAGAACCGTGCACTGCTGACGGTTTGAACTTATGTTGGTAACAATTTGGGTTTTAAATAATATGTATACAACTTATACAAAAGGACATCACAAGTTCATGATAAAATGCGAAAAAGTTTATGACATACTTGTGGAATGGAATAACTTATTATGACTGTCTTATCAGTTGGGTTATCTTAATGATTTCCACATATTTAGCTTTAAGTCCCTAACATTGATATTCCAAATAGGTTACAGGTTTAACTATACATTGATTTTTACGCCTCTGTTATTACCAATATTTTCTAGATGTGTAAAATTTCTTGAGCTATAAATTTATACACAGCGCAGCTGTATAATAAACAGATCCTGTAAGTTAACGATATTTGAGATAGCTCCATATGCGACTTTGTTGAATATAATATCAACTCGTTAAACACCCCGACATGACCAAGCTAATAATTGCTTTACATACATATGTACATTTAGCACAAATACTACATACATGTACCATGTATGTACATACATACATACGTATGTATGTATGCGTTATTGATTACAAAAACAACCGAGCATTGGGTTTGCTAAATCGGTTGACTTGCATTTTTATACTTTAGCCCATTGAAGAAACAAGTGAACCATGTTTAATGAGACATGTAGTAGCAAAAATCAAAATGTGAGTAGTCAATACAAAAATACTTTAAATAAACAAGAAATAGAGAACTCGCGGCAACGATGACGTTATGACGACATTTAAATTAACCCATGAATCAGCAACGAGTTCAGAGAGGGACAAGGAAAAAGTTTAACAATAGCACAACATAGCTAACAAAATGGTGATGGTGCCAGAAATAGCCGCACAAATCAACGTGCCAAGCAACGTAACGAAGCAGCCACTGTCCCCAACAGCCAGCTACAACAACTGCAGCAACAACAAAAAACAGCAGCTAAAGCACGAAGCACTGATAAAGAAATGTGTGCAGGTAAACAATTAGACAGGCAGACAAGCAAAAGGTAAAACATACAGCAGCAGTAAAAATGCCATTTAAATGACACTTTCAGTGGTGAAAAGCACACACACACACACAATCATAGAAAATGGAGTCGGAGACAACGCAGATAGAAGAAAAGGCATGGGCGGCAAAGGGCACGACAGTTTTCACTTACCCCAAATAAATGACGAAATTATGTTTGATTGCTATATTTTTTTTTTTGTTTTTGTTGTAGGTTTTGCTTTCTTCAAACACACACGGACTATTATGATGGATGCCTTTCGGTCTGGTCTGTCGCTCTGGCAGATCGTTTATGGCATGCATCTGTGTCTGTGTGTGTGTCTGCCTGCCTCCACTGCGCTTTCTTCATTAACATGTGCGTGCCAGTGTGTGGGCAGTAGCAAGTAGCTCCTACAAAAAATCTATGTGTTCATGTGACCTATGAGCTGTGTTGTTGTTTTGCTTGATGCTGCAACTTGTCTGGAGTTGGTTCCAATTTGACGATTTCTAACCTCAAAACTTGCCTGGCTCTGTTTCGTTGTTGTTGCTGCATTTGCTTAATTTCTTTTCGTGCGTTCTGATTTATTTTACACGATGCGTGTGTGGCTGCTACTTTTGGTTATTGTTGTTGTTTGCGCGAGAGTTGCTTGGTTTCGTTTACCAAAAGTACCGTTCGTTTTTGTTGCCACTTAACAACAACACGTTCTAGTTTCTCTTGCCTGCCTGTGTGCCAGCCAGGCAGGTGAGCGAACGAGATAGCACCACTGTGCGTCACGCAGAAACGAAAAATACGACAAAAAACGGACAGCAGCAACAGCTGATCGTGGTGGGGGTGTACTGATTCTTATTGTTGCCCTCGCATATACAAATGTATGTACATTCAAAATGAAAAATAAATGCTAATTTTGCTCTTTCTGTTGCAATTTTGAACAGTTTTTGAACTGCATGCTAAATATGTACATATTGAAAATCAGCTGCACGTTGTTTTGCATACGACAACGATGATGGCGCCAATCACTTCCTCAAAAAGCAGATATGCAGAACAAAAAGGGCAACGGAGTGAATAAAAACGTTGTTAAACACACACAAAAAATTTCATGCCCACGCAGAGTATCAGAAGACAAACAGAATTAGAGAAAAGCAGTATGCGTGGCAATTGCCATTGTAAATAAACACAATTAAGATTAATAAAAAGCGACAGAAAAACGCAATAATTTTAAGCAAATAATTAAATGGGTTAATATTATGAAAAGAAAAAAAATATTCTTCAAGCACACAAACACTCGAGAGCGACAGCGCAGTCAATGGCCTCGCAGTACGCCGACGAGGACGCGGCTACTGAGTAGTGATTAAGGGGTATATAAAACAACGGAAAATGCATTTGTTTTTTAGTCAATTTGCACTGCAAACAGCAGTCGGCTTGCCTACATATGTGCATACATATGCAAATGTGTCTATACGGTTACATGCCTTGACGTTTGGAAGTCACTCCTCGGTTGTTGGCGTTGCTTTCCTCTTTGGGGTCCGTTCTTGTGTATGCTCGTTACTTGCTGCTTAATTCGACAGCTGGAACGTAAAATTGATTTGGTGCACTGCTTTTATTGAAATTTTAGACATAAGAACATTTCGATATAACAAATGTGACAACGAAAACAACTACGAATGATAAACCAAATGTTCCTTTGTTTTAGTTTTACTTTTACACACACAGGCGGGCGAAAGAAAGCGATGTCAGCTTTTTTCTGTCTGCTTTTTTTGTTGTATTATATTATTGTTTTGGCGTCATTGGACATGGGAAACTTGCACTTTTCCACACGCAACCGCCGCACATTTACGCAATAATTGAAAACATTATAATTCTGCATTAGTTAACACAATTTTCAATAAAACAACAAAGTGCGCATTTTGGTTGTCAATATGTGCATATACATGCATGTATGTATGTATGTATTCATGTTGTTTTTTGTTTGAATTTTCTTGCTTGCCGTGCGCTATGTTTGGTTCAACAAAATAAACGGAAAAGCAACACCAAAAACAAATATCTAAATTGTTAAGAAAATATCGTTGAAAAAGCACGGCACGGCACTCCACAGCTAGCGACGACGGACGGCGACACAAAAAAAAACTAAACTTACACGAGTCGTTTGCCCTGGCGCACATACACGCGCGCACTCGCACACATACGTTAACAAAGTGGACGTAGTTAATTGTTGCTATCTCGCTCGTGCCGTTGTTTGGCCAGCAAGCACGTTTCTAGCCTGACTGCTTTAGCGTTTTCACACCAACACACACGTACGCCAGCAACGAGACTCACACGCACACAAAAGTGGCAGCTATTATAGCTCCCAACAGCAGGCTTTTAATTGTTCGTTACGCACAATTTTCGCACTTAAGTTGATCATTTACGTAATAATCTTCAAACACGCCTTGAGCACTTACTTTTTACAATTGCGTTGCGATTTTTTGTTATTTTTCTTAATGTCGAATTGCGGAGATTTTAATACGCCATCTTGCTAGGGATGTAAATGGTAGTCACTGTTGCCATATCGGTGGAACTTGATTGCTTGTTATTGCTTTATGAGCAAAATTCAACGTCAGTGTTGGAAAATATAACATATACTCTATCGAAAGTGACAAGCCGATATTGGAATTTTCAAACATCTAGCTTTTGAGCGTGAGCTACCAAAGGCACAATCCACATTCTCATTGTGGATTCATATCAGAACGCAATTGAAAGTAAGCAGTGCTGGTGTATGAAAAACGATGCTTCGACATCCACATACCATTTTACATATAAGTTCGTCACTAGGTGCAGAAATCTTGACCAATTAGGATGTGGAGAATACAAATTAATTTCAAGTTCAAATTCATTGCGCAAAAGTTGCATCATATATCAGAAAATATATAGAATAAGAAAAACAGCTGTATTTTCTCCGAAATACTGGAATGAAATAAATATGGCACGATGGATTAATCAAGCACATAGCATTTATAGCTAGACTTCAAGTACTCCCAAGGTGTATTTCTCAATTATTATCAATGAAATATCTATAAATAAAAATTTTAAATGCATGTCAAGTTCGAAAGCTTGCTTACCGCTATGGCGAATTCTTAAGTATTATTTTCAGATTAGTGTTTTGTTTATAATATTAATATTAATATTGTTATTATTAATTCTACTTAACAAAAAGTATTGCGGTGTTCAAAGATAAGAACTGATATTCTTGTTTTGTTCTCCATATTGCATTAAATAAAGCCAAAAGTTTTTGCAAGCCCTCTGCTCGCAGTCTGCGATCCTATACGCTAGTTTCTCCAATATTTAAAGTTGGGCCATCATCGAAGGAATCGATATATGCTTCTACCAGTATTCTTCTTCTAGTCTTCCAACCATATCTAGGACTATTTAGGACTATCTAGGACACATTTAAACTTCTGCAACCATAAATTTTCTCACAGAAACGGTATAATACCCATATACCCATCCAATCTGACGTGATGTGACATTCGTACGACAAAATATCAAGTAAATTAATGAAAAAGTAAAATTTTTAAATAAATAAATTAAATAGTTGAGTAGTAGTTTAATAGCACTATATTTATTTTTTATGATATAAGGCAAAATAGGCCCAGACGTGACGTTACACAAAAAGGACTTGAATAACAAAATTGCAAAACTCTGCGAAATGGGAAGGACTTTTACCTTGAATTTTTTTCTGTAGGCTTTAAATGAATATAAGTTTATTATTTTTTAAATTTGAATTATGGTGTGACGTGACGTTACATAATTTCCATTGGAACATTTGTAGTTAGTATTGTTTTTAAAACTAAATTATGTTTAATAATAATATTAATGTTTAAGTTTAATTGTAAGATAATGAGTTTTGCCCATTTGAACGCACTTTTGCTGTGAGAAGTTGAAAAATAATTCCTGTCAAAAACATGGCAAAAAAAATCAGAAGCAAAATCAGAAAAACTTCGTTCAATGAACTTATATTTAAATATTTCAAATAATATTTCTTGATTCCACCTGTATAAGCCGCAATTTAAAGTAAATTGAAAATAAACAAAATACCATGCAATGAAATTATTTACCATCTGACCATGGCTGCCCCCCCTAGATTCTGAACGGAACAAAAATGTTGCAGACAAATTTGAATTTGTGCCGCATTGTACAAAAATCACGAAAAAATACATCCACTTTATGGCTACGGTTAGTTTATCAGCTAGATTGCTGTGAAGATATAGTATTGAGAATATATACCTATATATGGGCATGAAAATATTGTGTTAATATGCTCAACTTATTACTCTTAACTAGCCCTATATTTGGGGCTAAGGTTGATTTTGGGCAACGGGACAAACGGGGCAAATAAGTTGTTTTTGCGGCCACCAGTTCGCTGATTTGATCGAACCCTGAGGCAATATCATTCCGACCCCAGATACGGCTCCCATTCCATTTTAGCTTGTAAAAATATTCTATTCAACTGAGAAGCATACGAATTCTTTTTAGAAAATTAACTAGAGTTGATACTATAAATTGATTTTCAAACTGAGAGCAGCACACATTAGAAAAATTACATATTTTTCGCTCAGTTTGCACGCCTCATTATTTTTTTCGCAGCCGGTATTATTCATCTAGATTTTAATAATTTTAAAGTATGTGCACGTATGTATATACGAGTATATAAAAATTTATCATTTATGCAAGAAGACATAATTTCAAATTGTTAGATTTATTTTAATCGATGTCGCACGGGACCAACTTTATATTTGATCCTCGATCACAAATCTTCTTATTTTTAGAAAGTTTTTTACATTTTATTGCATTCAAATTTTCATTAGTTTTCCATATTTTTCATGTGTTTTTTGTATAGTGCAAATAATTTGATAGTAAAAAATCAACCAAAAAAATCTTGCCACCCCTTGGACTAAATCCTGGCTACGCCCATGACGTGACGCTACACACTTTTGAAAATCAAAATAAAATAACTATTTGCTAAATTGCTGATATTTTCATTACAACTAATAAACTATATGAACAACTTTGTTTAATTTCAAATTTTCACGCACTTGCGATATATTTTTCTGACGCCATGTTACATTAGAAGATGGGTAAAAGGAAATCAAAAAGTTTACCCTTAATTGACATTGGTTTGCTCTTCAGCATTTATCTGAAGGCTTTTTGCAAAAAAAGCGCAGCTGCTCAATAATTCTTAGAATCAAAAATGGAAAAAATAAAATGCTCTTAAAATATACGGACTGAACTTTTTAGGTCTATATTTCGCCAATGCAAATAGCTAGAACTTTGAACTCTTTAATTTAATAAAACTTTAACAAATCTATTTAATAACAAGAACAAAAAAAACTGTTAGTTGACTTTACTACTTTTTGGGTCATGGTGGCAGATGTGCTGCTAAGAAGTGCATTCGCTTCCATCAATCCAATTAGGTCAGATCAAAGGATGCAAGGCTTTACAAAAGATCCCAGAACACCTTACAAGTTTTTTGGGAAAAATCAATTATAGAGTACCTTGAACTAGTTATGAATATACCAATCATAAAAAGCAATCCAATCTAAATTTAAGTCTATGCAAATTATGTTTTCCCTTAAAAAGTGGTCGGCCACGCCTCCGTCCTCCTGTACCTTCATGTAAGAAGAATTCTTAGACTTTATATTACCTACTCTATATCATTCGGAAGGAAATACATGCTTAAAAATTGCTTCTAAAGAGATGGACAATGAAGATTTCAAAGGGCGTAGGCCGGTTTTACCAAAATTAAAATTTTGATTAAATAATGCTCGATTCATTTAAAAAACAACTTCAGCAAATCCAACTTGGACCCATTTTAAGGCGAAATAGTGCCTAGTTCACCCTGCTGTTTTTTACACAAGCTCACATTTAAACATACATATTTATGCACAAATATATATATATATATATATCTATATATACGTATTATTGTGTGACAACGAGCAGGAATATAAGCTGAATGAAGGAAAATGCACAGCAAGGCAAACAAATTTGGGGTAGATAAGCAATCATTAAAGCGTTCATGTCAACAAATTGATAACACCAAAATAAAAAGGAAAAGAAAACATTACTGACGAATAAAAAAGTCAGAGAAATATTAAAAAAAAACATGCGCCTATCCTATGAGCAAATTCTATTTGACAATATTTAAAAGTGTATAAAAATTCTTCAAATAAAATCATTTCCACGAATGGCTGAGTCACTGAGACTGAACAATTCAGAGCATACGCCCCGTCCTATGCCACAACTGATTGGTTGAGAGAGAAAAAAAAAACAAAAACGGCGAAGCAAACAAACGGCACTTAAAACAACAACACAGCGGGCGATCGTAACTAAATTGCTCACTCACACACTCACACCCTCTCGCACACACACCAACGTTCTCTTACATCGTCAAACTAAGTACCGATCGGCGAATCGCAGACCGCCGCGAGCCGATGGTCAAACGAATGGGAATGAGCGACAACGACACGAACAAGGTGCGAAACAATAAAAACAAAACAAAATGACTCTGCGAGAATGTGAGGTGGGTGCTCGTTTGTTTTGTGGCTGTACTGTGCGCGCGCATGCAAATTAGTTGTGTCCGATCTCAAGAGCCGTTAACCCATTATGGACAGCGTGAGATAATTTACCCAAATTGCATTTATTTATTTGCCATTCATTAACATCAAAAGATAGCGAAGATAGTTAAATTGTCAAATCCTACATAGCGAAAAAACATTGAAATACTAATAATTCGACAATACATTATGAAGTTATCTGCTATGGATGCAATACATGCAACATATCTATTCATTTATTAATTTGTTTCATCAAATAATGAAACTTGTACAATATGTATAAAGAACCCAATAATATTTAATAACGTTGTATATTTGTTAAAGAAATGGGTTTTTTACGCGTAGCTATCACCCAAATAGTCAAATTTTTAGCATTTAGCAATTTTAAATTATTTTAATTTTTTATTTAATGTAAAATATAAATAAATGAGCAGCAAATAAATTATAAATTCATTAGAAAATCAATTATAAATAATTCAGAAATTAACAAAAGGAACTAAGGGCGCCAATGGCGTACGCAGGGGGGGGGGGCAGGTGGGGGCCGTTGTCCCCCCCTAGAAAAAATTTTTCCATATAAAGTCGACCACACGTTCATTATTATGACGCACTATTTCGCCTTAAGATGGATCTGTGTTGGATTTGTTGAAGTTTTTTCATCGATCATATGCATAAATTATTTTTTAAATGCATCGGGCATTATTTAATCAAAATTTTAATTTTTTGGCCCCCCTTTGGTAAAAGCTGGCTACGCCCTTGAAGAGCGCAATAACATTTTGATAAATATTTCACTAATTCTGTTTTTATACGGTCTGTTTTTCATCGGTTTTGATTTAACCCAGTTGAATATTAAACAATTCAAAATAACATATGATCAATGTCTTTTTTTACATGTTTTTTTTTTTTTTACAGACAGAATTAGGTGTATATGAAAATAGTGATCATTGGTGATAAGTAAATAAGTATATAATTTTGAAAATATTATAATATTTGTTTGTGACTATTAAAATTTCACCATTATGGGTTAATGATTGGTGGGAGCGAGATGGAAATATCGTATTTCCTGACAATGTTTTGCTAAATATTTCCGCAACACATGTCGTTTTTCTGCGCGCCCTGAGTTTGCTTGCCATTTCTAATGTGTGCAAGAGATCGAGAAACGGCATTAAGTTATGGAAACGAAGATGAGAAGTGGGGCGGGATACATAATATACTATATGTACAATGCGCCATTTGGTTTCGTTTAGCTCAGAAGCCGACGTCGATGTCGACGCTGACGCCGAATCTTTGTCTTGTCGGCGGCTTAGATCAAATAATGCGATTTCATGGCAAGTCAGAGATTGTCAAGCTGGGATCTGAGGCTGGAGCTGAAGCTGAGGCTGACGCTGAGGCCCCAGACGCATCCGCTACTACATTTTTGCGACCTTTTGGCGCTGCTCCAATTTGATAATGTGACCGAAAAAGTAATAAATAAAAGAAAAACAATTTGCACTTGCCAGAGCTTTTCTATAAAACATACATACATATTTTAATTAATTTATTTTTTCACATTTTTGCGCCTCTGCGACTCTGTTTGTGCAGCTGTTTGAACTTTGCCGGCCTGCGGGCAACAGGCCCGCGAAAAACAGAGAAAAACTGTCGGCTCGACTTGTTAGATGCTGCCATTAAATTGCTAGACTCGATTTCAATTTTCCGAATAGCGCGTCTCACTGCAGTTCAGCGAACTCGCAAATGGCTCGAAGGGGTGGCAAGAAGGGGGAAAGTGCCTATTTGCCTATATAATTTCGATTTTGATGTTTTTTATGACACTTGAGTCGATTCGATTCGAACCGAATCGTGTCGAGTTGAGTCGAGTCGAGCGAAGTCGTTCCCTACTTTGGCGCTGATATTGACGTTTTTGGTCACGGCTGCCACCAAAAATCGTATAAAACGTTCATCTTGAAACGACGCGCGACGCGGCGTCCCCAAAACGTTAAAACGTACATATCTCAGCCATCGCCATCTAGTAGGTATTTATGATTTCATTTATGAATTTTCGTGTTTTATTGCTGTTGAATTTTGATGCTGTTTTTTGTGTGTTGTGCGGCGCATCGTTTGAGAAAAAAGTTAATTGAGTTGTAAAAATTATAAAGTTGTAAAAATAACGTTCGATGCTCGGTAAAAGTAAACGCTGTATAGACATTTTCGTACGAAACTTTGACGCAGTCGCGAGCGTCCCCAACTTGAACTTCTAGTTGAAACTAGCTGGAAAACAAAAGCGAAACATAAATGCGCGGCGATTTTTGACGATTTTTACGAGCGTGAAATTAATAGCGGGCAGTTTCGGGGGAGTTTTTGTTTACCAGCCATAAAATCTGGCATCGGACTTTTTTCTCTACTTTATTTTCGTTTTATTTTTCGGCTGAGCTAGCGGCAAAGTTTCAGGTGACTTCTGGCAAGTGTTGGAGCATCTTAGTCCAGATTTGTTTTGTTTTGTTTTGTATTTGTCTTATCGTCCCCATCAAATTCGGCTGCAGCAAGTGGCAGCACCGGCACCCATGCAGAAGCGTCATAAATCCACATGTGGTTGTAAAGTGTTACCAATTTGTATTTCCATACATTTCCATTTTGGAGTTAGTGTTGCAGCTCAGCAGCTGAGTAGCTGAGCAGTGCAGTGACAGTCGTCTAGGCTGCCGCGCTGCGCCGCCTCTCCCGTCTCTCCCGTCTCTCCCGTCTCTCTTTCTCTCTCTATCTTCCAAATGGCATAAATTCACATGAACATGTTAATGTTTACACGCGTACCCCGATTTTTATGTGCCCGCCACTTCGGGGTCGCCCTCTGAAGCTGCCAACCGCCTTCGTTTCCTGTCTTCGTCTTCTTCGGCTTATCTTTGGCGCTCGCTACTGCCGATCCACTGCCACTTACCGCCGATTGCTCGGCTCAGTCCCAGTTCGGACTTTGCTGTGAATTGCGTGGGTCGCGAGATCAGTCGTTGTTTGCTTGCCAGCCGCGTCGCTTCGTTATTGTCAACCACATCGCCTCGTCGGGTACTTGACCGATCTTAAGTTTTTACGGCGGCTTTTTGTCGCATTTCCGCCGGTGTTTGTACTTAAAACCGAGCAGTGATTAGTGAATATGAGTGGGGACACGACCAATGGTAGTAGTGCTGCCAGCGTGGAACGTGCCAAGCCTGTGGAGACACTGGTACTGGCAAATTACGCGTTGAAGGCGGAACAGAAACGCGCAGCCGGCCAGGGAGGCCGCAAGGAGGATGAGCGCATTACGAGTGCTGTGATGAAGGTTTTGGAGGGCTATGATTGGAATCTGGTGCAGGCATCGGCCAAGTAAGTGTCATCAAAGAAAGCCTAATCTCTAATATTTTAAGAAACTGAACACATGCATGCATACCTCATTCGTTTGTACATTTTTAAATGGAGGTTCCCTTGTGGAAGAAACTCAAAAATCAATTACAGGCATATTGTATTTCGAAAAACCAAGCTAAAGCAATTTTTATAAATCAAATATGCCTTCGCTCACGGAATAATAGAATAGAGCCGATACTTTCGAATAGATATGAATTCATTTTATTTTATACAAAACATTTGAAAGTAGCTTTTGAACTTGAGGTTCCATAAATTGAATCAGCGAACCAATCCCATGATTATAATGGGGGCTATGTACTATAAGGGTATAAGCACGATGGCCTATACAAGTATAAAGGAAGGTGGGAACTATGCGTGTTATTAAGTATTCAACAAATTATATAAATAAATAGCTATTCCAAAATCACGACTTTTGAGTTGCTAAAAACCGCATTGCAAACAGAATTGCTCGAAAATACAGAAAAATATTTATTTAAAAAAAGTATTTTCTATTGACGCTTATTGAAACAGTTTTGTTTCAGTCGTCATTGGTCTGCTTGTATGCCAGTTTTTCGGGAGAACTGCGGTTTCCAGATTTAAGACATGGTACAGAGCATTACCGCAAAGGTGCCAGTCGCAATCAGTAATTAGCCTTAGGGCTTTATTCTGAAACATCTGTTTGTAGTTCGGTTCTGCAGTCAATCCCAAAATCTGGACACTGTATCTCAGAATCAGGGGAAGCATCGAATTGTTGTAGCATCCAGAAATGTAGAACCTACATTTGTTGATACTAGCCTGAACGTCATTATTATTGAAACTGATCATAGGATATTGAAACGAAATATTTATCATTATCTCTGAACTTTTTAGTCAGGGGTAGAAATATTAAAACAGATTGTGTTATTTTATTTATTACACCAACACAAAAAGGATTCAAAGGATTACTAGGCATATACATATAAGTATCAGACAAAAGGAGGAATGGCAGACCCCTTTTCATAGCTACATATATAAGATCAGCATGACTGGACAAAAATGCCAAGACGAAGGTTTAACGGTAGGATTGGAAAAAAAGTTACTCTTATCAACACGTTTTTACACTTTTCCTGTTTGGGTTGTGTAAGCTTGTAATCCTCAGAAAAGAGAATAGTAGACCACTTGTTACAGATAAATATAAGTATAATCAGCTTGTCGGTAGAAATCCAAACCGCGAGGTTCGTCTGTGGACTCAGAACAAATTAATTAAAAATTACAAAATTTGTACAAAATGCTTTCTAATGAAAGATTATTGAATACCTGTTTTATAGGGATAATAGTTAGGTGACCATAAAGGACTTTTGTTTTGTTATAAAACACTGTAAACTTCGACGAACATTTTGTATTTATGGTAGATTGTTTTAAACCGTCTCAAGATAATTTGACGCTTAATTAAAATTGGTTCACTATATCATATAGCTGGTATGGAAATGGTGGAAACTTTCTACTATGTACTTTTCAAAGTAAAAGAGCGTTCTGGTCCAAAGGCGAATAAGTGCGATGGCACGAAAAATTCATATATTGTTTAAATAGGAATCCTTCACAAACAAAAAGCATTTAAAATAGAAGTGAACGCATTTAATGGATTATTAATTCTTGAATTATTGAATACAGTATTACAGAGTCGATTTCTGTGGTTTCAGCTTATAGTCGTAAGGATACTAATAATGTAGGAAGAAAATGCTTAAAAGCCTATGGGACGCACGTTTCCAAATCTGCTGAAGCCGTTTCCCATTTGTTATTCACAGGTTTCCTCGCCTCAATAATCAAGTCATAAAAAGTAGGCTTCGAAACTGATCAATGACTAAGTGAGCCCCTTCTTCCCGTCTTCCCGGGTGCGCACAAATTAGCACAATTTCGAGTTCTCTTGCCATATAAGTAAGCGGTTAAGCAAACTTTGGGGGTAACCGCAAAAGGCGGGCAGGCGCCGCGTCGTGTGGAACACACGCCTGGGAATATGTCGGCATATGCAAATACCCTGAGACTACACATACAGTCAGACACCGTCAAATACAGACGCAGAAACACCCAGACGAGTTCACATAAAATTATGGTCGACTTCAAAGCAAACAAATTGCCCAGCAGATGAGTCGAAAAATAGAAAAGAAGCAAAACGCACATTTGGCACGGCGAAAAAAAAAACAACCAAAAAATAGGAAAATAAAAAACTCAAGATACAAAATATAAACACAATAAATGTATGTAGAATGAATGGGCAGTGGGGTGTGTGTGTTTTGGAGAGAGGTGTCGGGGCGAGTCGAGGAAATGTTGAAAATGAAGACGACAAATCAATTCAGGCATAAAAAGTGAATAAATACGTTTTTAGCATGGAGACGCTAACTGCTAACAAGCTGCAAGGCAATGGGCTAGACAAGACTGCGGAAGGAGTGGAGGGAAGGGCAGCTGGAGAGGTTCTGTGAGTTGAGTTGAGTTGAGGGCTGCGACCAGACAGGTGGGGTTAGAAACGATGGCAACACTTAACACTCTCTGGCGAGGGCGCTAGGCTGCAAATTGACACTCGACATGGGCCTGTCTATGGTGGAGAAGGATGAGGCCGGAGAGCTTTGGATGTGGGAAGCGCAATGTTGGTCAACAGTTGCAGTTGCAGTTGACAGTTGCAAGTGGCGCCATAGCCAGAAAAAAATTGGAACTCTTGGCGACGGCGGCTCCATGGGAACGCTGATCCTGTAGCACTAATTGACTGCCAGCGGTTTGCATTGTGATTAACACTGTAGACAAGCCTTGGCCTCCCTAAATGCCCGCTTAGTTGTCATGTCGACAGTGTTGGAAAATGCGGACTATTGTCAGTTATTATGGCCATGCTGTGACGATGTTGAGGTGTTTTCTGTGTGGTCGTCGCGCCGCTTCGTTTTGTGGCTGCTCCTGTTCCTGTTGACTGTGCTTATCATTGCCACACTCAGCTGGCGGTCGCAAACATCCTTGAGCTGCAAAATTGTTGTTCTTATTGTCACTGAGATTGTTGTTGTGACTGGGTTAAAAGCGCAAGAGTTGTAAAAAGCATGTGTGTGTTTGTACAAGGATATGAGCACCATTTCCTTTATCTTTCACAACAGCGGTCTCCGGTCTCCCAACACATTCATGCATATCTACATAGCTCATACTTGTATATACTTACATGTCCAAGCTCCCCTATATATACTATAAACATACCTATACCTACATATATAGACGACTTTGTTTATCTTGCGCTTTACGCGCCTGTTTATCTTTACATGCCCGCCTTCTTTAAACCGCTGAGGTGTTGAACATACGGGTATAAGATTCATGTGTGGCATGTATTGGGGCATATGCAACCCTCCGCAAGTCCATTTTAGGTATATGTAGGAGAGATAGTTTAGATAAGATTTGAATATTTCTGTGTAAAATCAATGTGGGGGCTTACGAAACAATGTTGGGCATAATTGGTTCAATGTCTGTTTCTTTGTCATATTAAAACAATTTGACTTTCGAGCTTGCCCTGCATTTCTGGCCAAACATTTAATCATTTTTATTATGCTTGTTTAGCAATCGGTTTCCCTAGAAAGAGCGCTAAGCACCAGTGCTGTTTAAAAGTTCGCGATACCACAAATAATTATTATATAATATAAACACCTGGCGAGCTATTATATATTATACATACATATTACATATATTTCTCCAATTTTTGAACATATTTATTTCTTGTATTCTTTGATCTTATGGATCTTATTCGTGTAGTCAAGCCGTTGAAGCTTTTTTTCTGTCATCTGTAATAATAGTGTTTTTAGTTATCACCTCCAATATCTTTATAAAAAATTAGTTTTTAAATGATATTGTTCCTCTGATATCTGCAAGGTATAGGCATCGTATCAGATCACATTCGATAGGTGTTATTGGTTGGAGCACAGTCGGAAAACCGAACATCAGGTGGATTAATCCCATCTTCCCATTTAGTAAATACATATAAATACTTCAAACAAATTCCTCTCAATTCAAAAAAATAAGACCTCCCGCAGTATCTTTCTCTGATAGTTACATAGTATAGGCATCATATCCGATCGTATTCGATAGGTGTTATTGGCTGAAGCACAGGTGGGTTCATCCCATCTGATCATATAGTCAATACATATAAATGCTTTGAGCGTCTTTGAAAAACAAGTCCCTCTCAATTCATCATTATATTAACGCGCTAAATGATTTAGCAAGTGTCGCACAACTGGAATCGTTTTCCACTTACGAGTGCACGTCTAAGCCTTCTCACACTTCTGTCCGTAACAAATAGATATTGCTTATTGTTTGTTAATGCTGCTGCTGTTGCCCTGGTGCTAGTTAAATTAATTTCTGGTGAGTCACACCCCAATAATAATAATATAATCTCAAACAGCAACAACACAAATTACTGGAGTATCTGCGGTGTCTTCATTGGCGCTGGCGGCTATCGGTCTTTGCATTTATTTTTTCGCAAGTCGCAATACACAAGTATTTATTCCTATGCTCATATTTATTTTTATTGTTGCTTCCTAGTGGGCTTTGAATAATGTTTAGGTAGGGTGTGTGTGTGTGTGTGTGTGAATATGTCACCCGATCATAAAGTGCGCCCCATGGCTATGTTTTGCTCCCCTTTTTTGAGCTAATAGCTTCAATTTGTATGCGCTTCTATTTACTCGCCGATAAGATAATTCCAGGGACAAGGCGTCGCCCAACACTTCAGGAACATCGGCGAGACCATATAAATTATTTATTGCTTATCTGGGCAGCGTGCACACGCATAGGCATGCGTCGGTCTTATCGCAGCCCTAAAATCGCAGCCTTTGAGGTGCCCTGCTCTGATATCATCTCTGTTTCCACGTTGCGCCTTCAAGTAGGCTACGGTATTTTGCTCTTGACCAAAGCTTACCTGTACAGTCAATTTACATTTCGCCAGCGTCCCGGCCTACACAAAACTCCCACTCCAAGATTGCCGATGG